GCCCGACTAGATCTTAATTCTCTACTGGCTGCACTCCTGTGTCACTCTTGACTCTTCTGCACAGCTGGCTCATGGTTAAATATCCCAGGGGGTACTCAATTATCTATTGTTACCCATGCTGGCAGGCATGGAGGTGTGGAGATGGGGTGAGGGGGTTGCTGATGCAGTCACTTTGTTCATGGCTGAGGAGGGAAGATGTGAGAGTAGGGTGGCTAGCAGAGAGGGGAACTCTGGTGTGAGGTCTTGTTGCTAATTCTCAGAGACTCTCTGAGAGCCTTGGATTATGATCCCCTTTAGATAGCTTCCTGGGGAAATTACTGTACTCTGAGTTTTGTATATTGGGCATACGAAGTGGTGGCATATGCCGTCCCACTGGATATGGTGAGGGATTAGCAGAGCCTGCTGGCAAACATGGTGAACTTACAGCATTTCAATGAGTTCTCGAATAACTCCGTGAGCAAAAATCTCAGGGGGAGGTCTGATAGAGACCCTAGTGCACAAAAATCTATTATTTGCACCCAGCCTCCCAATAGTGGCCTCCTTACCTCTTAATTTTCTGATCTAACAACAGGATCTAACAATGGGTGGATGATTCTACCTGGATGCCATCTTGACTCCTCGATTTTTTTTGTCATCTGTGTTTTTGATGTGAGGGGGATATTGTATTTAGAGTTCTTTCCATTGGGTCAGATGTTTAGTCAAGCTTTAAATTTAGAGGATCTGAAAAGATTGTGTAACAGTGTGCAACAAAAAGGCCTGGCTTGTGGTAGAAGGGGGACTGGCTTTTACACTCTGACAATGTACTTGCTCATGCAGCCATCTCAGATTACCAGATTTTGGCAAATAAAACCCAGCATGCCCCTCTTGCTCGACGTACCTTACTCTCCTGACCTCACTTTGTGCAACTTCTTTTTGTTTCTTCTAGTGAAGAGGAACATGAAAGGACAGTGATTTAATAAAGTAGACAAGGTGAAGAAGAAAATGAGGGAGGTGTTGTTAGCCATCCAAACAGATGAGTTAGATGTTTCTAAGAATGGAATGGTAGATTTGATAAATGTATTAAGTGTAATGGAGGGTACTTTGAAGGTGATAAGGTTGTTTTGTTAAAAAAAAATATTAAATACATAGCTTTGGAAAAAAATTCCAGTCTTTTGGTACAACCCCCCGCACAACCCCTTCTCCCCAAACACACACACACTTCTTTCATAGCCTTTAGTTTTGTGGGGAAAAGTGTATTTGTGTGGAAGATGTTAGTCTTGCAAAATTCTATCATTCAGTCTCCAACCTAGTTTCTGTCACCAACCCCTCTTTTCCAACTATTGTTCCTTCCTTGTTTCCAATGTTTGCATTCCAATTTCCAATAATTATCAATGCATCTTGATTGCATATCTTTTCAATTTCAGACTGAAAATGCTGGTAGAATTCTTCAACTTCTTTATCACTAGCTCTTGTGGTTGGGACCTAAAATTGAATAATAGTTGTATTAATTGGGTGTCTTTATATGTAGATAGACATGATCCTGTCGCAGATAGCATTGCACTTCAAAATAGATCCTGAAATATCCTTTTAGATGATGAATGTGATGCCATTCTTCTTGATCATGTCATCCCCAGCATAGTAAACCATTTGGTTTTCTGATCCCAAATGGCCAATATCAGTTTATTTCAGCTCACTAATACCTAGAACGCTGATATTTATGCTTCCTATTTCATTTTTTACAGCTTGAAATTTCCTAGATTCGTACTTTATAAAATTTTTGAGTATTAATTGATGTTTACAACTACCTCTTTTAATTTTGAGTTGTGCCTCATTAGCAAATGAATATCCAGAAGGCTTTACTCTCATAGGCTTTACTCCGTCTATGTGATTGAGAAGGCAGGTCTTCTTCAGTCATATTTTGAATATCTTCTGACCTGAGGGGCTCATCTTCTGGCACTATCTCCAACAATGTTTTACTTCTTTTCATTACAATGTTCCGATGTTGTCAGAAAAAGGTTTTTAGTAGCTAATTCCTCAGAAAAGGTAAACTATTCCTCCTTCATTATGTGTTCTTAGTCTGTAAGCTCTGCTGAAGCCTGTCTTCACTTTGGGTCACCCTGCTGGCATTTGAAAGAAATACCAGGAGTCTAGCTTCTAGCACCACAGCAAATAGGACATGTGTAGCAATAACAGAAGGGTTGGCTCCAAGAAAGCACTCTCTATGAGGTTGGAAAGAGATCGAAACTTCAGGACCACTGGAAGTGTACATTAAAGGTGTAGTGATGAAGGGCAAGACCAGAGGCTGAGACAGAGAGTGTGAGACAGAATGGAGGAACAACACCAAAATTACAAGACTCTGAGGCAGAGTAGCAGGCTGACTTCCTGGCTCATGAAGGCAGAGAACCAAGGCCTACGTGGCTGAGAGGTTGAGGGCTAGACAAAGTAGCCACTAACTGAGGATAGGTATTGAAGTAGAACAACGACTATACCTTTACTTTGTACTACTTCTGGCTTGTGGTAACCTTTTAACTTCCCTGTTAGTATGGCCATGAGTTATGCATTGGCATTGCAATGCATTATTGAATCCAGAATAGAAACAGAGTGCCTTGGGAAGAATGGTCGGTGTCAGAATAAGGAAAGAAGGATAGGACTTGGAGGCATGTCTGGCCTCTGTCTCATGGCACTAGAGAAGCCAGATGAGATCATATATAGTTGCCCATTGCCACTGACTGCATCTGTCTATTCCATTGTTCTTCCTTACTTACTGCATTTTTCAGTTTTGCCTGAGATAATATTCCTTTTGCTAAAGAAAGCATTTCAGTATTTCTCGATGGTCTACTAGTGTCAAAATTTCTCAGGTTTTAGTTTTCTAAAAAATACCAATTTTGACCTTACTTATTCTTTTTTTAAACTAGCATTAGATATTATTCTTTTTAGGTGGCATTGAGACATTTTGACTCATAGTAACCCCATGTGGCCAAGTAGAACTGCCCCATAGGGTTTTCTAGGCTATAATCTTTGTAAGAACAAATTACTGTGTCTTTCTCCTGTGGAGCTGCCGGATGAATTTAAACTGCTAGCCGTTCTATTAGTAGCTGGGCATTAACTGTTGCAGCACCAGGACTTCTTTGGCTAATGGGATACAAAGTTTGACTGAGGATGCTTAAAAGGAAAAAAGGAAAGAAAAATCAAGTTAAGCCCATCTTGAATTAAGTGCCAAATGACACTTAATTGTAGCACCAATTCTGACAGATGTATGGTTTTTAAGGAACAGTTGTATCACATCGTCAACAGTATGAGAAATGTGTTAGGTTTATCAACGTTTGCAGTAGAATGAGGAACATGACCTTTGGGGGAGGGTAGCAGAAAACAGATCAAGTTTGGGAGATTTGCAGACAAAAATGTTCCAACACAGGTAGTAGAAGATACCAGTGAAAAAGCAAACTGTTGATGTATCCAATCATAAATTCTAAATTGATGGTGAAAGAAATGAAGTTAGGCAGGTTATTAAATGTCTCCATTGTGATTATAAGCAGCTGAAAGAGTATTCCAAAGTTCTATTTTAAAAGAAAGCAGCGTTTTTACACATAGGTTATTGAGAGAGAAATATGATAGAGCCAGGGAGATTGCTGACCTTCTCTATCTGGCTATGCACACTTCTGCCTAAGGCCAAAGCACTTCCTAGGTAGAAGTCTTGAGTTTGCTTTATAAGGAGAATGTATAGTTTTTTTTAGTCTCTTTTACCCTCGTATATATTAACCAGTGTTCTATTATTCATCAAAAAAAGACTCAGTGAGTATTACCTTGCATTGTATACTCTTGTCCTAAATATTGATTCAATTAAACACAATTAATAGAGAAGTGAAAGATTCTTAATGAGATTAAATTATTTTATTTCCTTTGAATTTGTAGTTTCCCCACTAAATTTCCACCATAAGATCAGAATTGTAGATTTTGGGCGTTGGAAGAGAATTTATGTGACTCCTTTTACTTTTCCCCCATTCTACAGAGGAAATAAATGAAGTCATTCTACAAAGCAAAAGCATAGTTCAACCCGAAAAACCCAGGTCTCCTGATCTTTATCACTGTACTGTGGAGATTAGAAAATTCATGCTTACTTATTCTATCACTTTGCATACTGCACCCTTATCTAATTCTACTTTTAAGTTTAAGCAAATTTTCTTAATGTGGGAGAATAAGAGGTGGTTTACAATCCTCTTTCTCTAAAACATCTAAAAGGAGTGGACACAAAGCACTTTTGCAACCAAATTTCATATAAAAGCAGTAGGAATATGCAAATAAGATATAAAGCCAAACTTTAGAAATGAGCTACAGAGACAAAGATTTAACGAGGTACCATTTTAAAAATCATTTTATTGGGGGCTTGTACAGCTCTTATCAAAATCCATACATAGGCCCATTGTGTCAAGCACATTTGTACATATGTTGCCATCGTCATTTTCAAAACATTTTCTTTCTACTTGAACCCTTGCTATCAGGTCCTCTTTTTTCCCCATCTCATTTGTCCCACCCTCTCACCCTCCCACCCCCATGAACCCTTGATAATCAAGGCACCATTTTTAAGGCTAAACTCTAGTCCTGCATTCTCCTCAACTGGTGGACTAGTCATAAGCAGATTTGACCCCAGATATTCTTGCCCCTGATGGAAATGCACACCTGGCCAAGCAACAGACAGAGTAACCTAAATATCAAGTCTAATGTTTTTGACAATGTGTGCTGAAACAGGCTCACTCTACCCCCATCCTGTTCTACTTCTGTCAGAAGGAAACGAAGCCACAAGGAGAACAAAGAGACCAGTAAGACCTTGTATCTTCTGCTACTCCCCCTTTTCACAGAGTCCACCCTGCACAGAGCTGCTCCTCCTTACATCTGCTCTGGTGTGACAGTCTTGCTTGCTCAAAGGAGGAATGATGTACAGGAACTGCAATTGAAAACAAGTGACACTCAGAAGTCGCAGTGCCCTATAAGTACCAGATCAGCACAGACCCCAAGTCAAAGCAATGGCATTGTCGCTGGATGAATTTATCCACTCCCTTGACCTTCGGACCCTCCCCAGGGTCCTTGAAATCCAGTCAGGCATTTATCTTGAAGGTAAGCACCCTGGTAACTCTTAGCTGGCTCTAAAGTGCTTATAAAATATACATGCTCTCGGGAATTGAAAGGGAACTTTTAAATAAAGAATCTACAAATTCCACTAAAAGAATTATAAAGGAGAAAAAGATTTAACTGATGAATGGTCAGAATTCAACAGTGTCAGAGAAGGCAGAACCTAGATAGGCTTCTAGAGATAAGAAGTGTATAAAGTTCTTGAGACATTTTGAGGTCTTCAAGAATTCATTATAAATGGTAGGTGAATTATTTCTGTCTTTTCATTGACTTCGGCTGTAATTGAGTGACATGTGTTTTAAATATATATCTATGGTTAAGTTTCTGGACTACAAAAAATATAAAATTTAGTTTCTTAAAAGCTGTGTTTGGAAAGACAAATCTCTTTACCACGTTCTACTATGTCTAAATGTTACTTACTTCAACAATTCTCTAACTCTTTCTGTAGTGGCCTAACATTTAATTCCTCTAGAGCAGTGGTTCTCAACCTTCCTAATGCTGTGACCCTTTAGTACAGTTCCTCATGTTGTGGTGATCCCCCAACCATAAAATTATTTTCGTTGCCACTTCACCACTGTAATTTTGCTACTTTATGAGTCAGCGACCCCTGTGAAAGGGTCATTTGACTCCCAAAGGGGTCGCGATCCACAGCTTGAGAACTGCTGCTCTAGATAATGACTTTTTATTCAAAGAAATTAATATTTATTTACTTATAGGATAATTTATTTAAAGTATATGCTGAAAAGTCACAGTTCCATTAAAAGTTTGAATCATAAATAATTGAACTTTGGTGTAACTTAACATGTTCATGTAAAATAATATCAAAGACTTCAATGTATATTTAGACTCTTTAATCAGTTAGTTTGAATATATGCATAACAAGACTCATTTTTATGCAAATAAATGTGTGTTTCTGGTTCACCAAAGTAGTAGAATTTAGATAATAGTAAACAGACTTATGGGAAAGTAACTTAAGGCTATAGGCAGGTCATTTTTACAATTCATTGACAAAATCATGGATTATATATTCTATTATAAAATACAGGAAAGATAGACAGATATTAGATCAATGCAAAAGCATACATACATGTACATACACCTGGAAGTGATACATTGGTACATATTTTTATTAGTTTGTGATAGGGTTTTGTTTAATTCATTAGCAAATTGGTTATTTGGAATAAGACCATGTTTTGCCATGTCTACAAAATCATGAAATGTCTCTATGTTCCTTAAATGAAAAAAAAAATCAATTTCCACCAGGGATTTTAAGGATTTCATTTTAATAGTAGATTTTTTTGGATGTATATCATGAGGCTTTTCTTCTGTGTGGACTCAGACCGCTAAAGCTTCAGCCAGCCGCTGAACACATTAGCCGTTCGTACAACCCAGTGGTTACCTATGTTGCTAAGACAGCCTTAAGTCCATTTTTGACTCATGGTTCAGGATTTTGTGTCTTTCCAAACAACAGTTTTCTTTCTGTCTAGGCTACAAAGATCTTCTTTGATATTATTTCATATGAACTGGATGGTCTTATATGTCACAGCTAGCTTTTAATCCATCTGAAGAACACTTTTTATTATGAAGCATACAGAGCCAATTTTAGTTTCCTTCATATAATAAGCCTGATTTTCCAATACCGTTTACCAAACTAGATACCTTTTCCCCATTTTGTGTTGCTATCTTTAAAGTGGCCATATCTCTATCAGCCCATTTGTGAAATATACCTTCTGGTCCATTAATCTATTTTTTTCCTGTAATTATTCCCAATCACTATTTTTTAAATTTATTTTTTTTATTTTATTTATTTATTTTTTAATA